TTCCCACAATATTTCATGGGGAGAAAAGACTCTCCATTGCTACCCTATGTGAAGGAATATTACTCCTTGCTCCGCTTGCTCCTGTAACGAGGATTGGGGAGAATTGCCATCCCTAGGTATTGTCATATTAAAAAAAAATATTACTATAAGCAAAAGTATTCTTATTCATTATTAAACTAAGAGATTATAACTTTATATGTTTTTATTCGTTAGATAATCATGGTATCCTAAAATTAATTTTTAACTTTAAAAATGAGGAGAATAATTATCACCATGCAACTATATACATAGTTGTTGATGATATATATTTTCTGTTGTTTTATGCAATTTGGTATATGTTAGATTATACAAAATTAACTATTAGACAGTGTTTAAACAAAAAATTATTGTGCAATTTGGATTTCAAAACTAAAACCAATAGATATAGGGTGACGCCTTAATAGTAGGGGTTTTCCACCATCCAATAATTTAATTCATAATTTGTTACGGTTCAAACTGCAAAACAAGATTCTCATATTTAAAAAGGTACTCTACAGTTAAAATAAAAAAGATTAATTTGTACAGAGAAGGGGACCATCGAGTTATATGTTGTTAGGGAAAGCTAAACAATTCTGGTGATGTTGCGCATGGGATTCTACTTTGATGAATGGGGCAGTTATTGCTTTCACCCACATGCGCATATAAATGTGACGTTAACTATGTAAGCACTTACTTTTGTTTTCTGAGGTTACCTGCCTTCGTGAGTTGATATTTTTGCAAAGTATTTTAGTTTCTTCAGAGACGCAAAGTTTACCATTCGGAAGTGGTTTTGCCAATTGGACTAGCTGAGTATAGCCATGTGATTGGGCAGATTGGACATTCAAATCTAGGGAAAGCAGTGACCTCAATAAATGTCTCAACTCGAAACTGCCTTGAAGGGGAGGTTCAACATGATAACTAATTAATAATAGTATGTTTGGACCAGTGACTGATTCGTCTAATTAGAAAGAATTTAAAAAGAATTTAATTTTCCTTTTACGTAAAATTTTGAATTTGAATTTTATGAATGAAAAAATAAATATTGAGATAGTTTTTCCTTTATAAGATCCAATTTATCTTATCTCCAGATTAGTTGAGATTCAATGTGATTTTCGGATACTAAAAAATTAATACCAAAAAAATAATAGTATGTTTCGGTTGAAAAAAACAAAAAGAAGAGGAGTGTTTTTTAACCAATCAAATTATAATATTTTTAAATATTATAACATGATGGTAAGAAAATCTTCTCATCTGGTCAAACCAAACATACCATAAACTACAAGGCATAAGTCCTTCTATCAAATAATAATAATAATAAGAATGACAAGTCTTTTACTTTTTATTAAAAAAAAAAAGAGAGTCCGATGGAGACCTAATAGAAAACGGACTCCTGGAGAAACACCTGGACATGCACGAACCACGTACCCCCACGTGGAGAGTTTTCAGTATTTGTGAGTTTAGATAATCTCATGGGGAGCTTTGAAAGAAATGTAATCATCCTGTTTTGCTACTGTTGCCCAAGAATGCTGCAAAAAGCCCTAGGTGCAGTGGCTGAGCGACGTTCAGCTTTCTAAGCGAGGCCTTCAACCACCGCCTAATACCCTCACATGGATGCCTATAACTTAAAACCGTAATCTTTCGCGCCCACTAAAAAAAAATTACAATTGGTAGATCCCTCATTAGGCCATTGACTAGTAGTTTATATATACTGTAATTACAATAAATAATGGGGAAAATCATTTTCAAAATATGAAATAAAAATATATATCATGAAATATATGTTGCTTGTCTTGATGTATTCTATTTCTCATTCCAAGCTGGGGAAAAAAAAAAAAAGAAATGGTCCATTTGTTTTACACGTTTGTTTGTCTTACACTATCTAGGTGTAGCTAGAAATGGTCTTAATTAGTTACCCACATACATGATGAATGAAGAACTTTTGAATATAGAGAAATTTAATTAATTGGTGATTGGCTTATCTCTTTCGATGGATACAAGTGATCCCACTTTGAGAGACAAGCTCAAGTGATGACATATTCAATTCCCAAAACTTTTGGAGTATGAAGCTATGTTAGGAGAGGGCATGCAGTAGCACAAAACAGAAGATGACTCAGCCTAGAAGATAATGATCATAATGCTAAGCACGTACGAAAATCGAAATATTCTAAATTAAATTTCATCAATTTCATGAATCACACCATCAAAAAACAAACCAATTACACTCCATTTTATCGATCAAAATTTGATTCCTTAAATAACTAAAATATAATTTCTACTAAATTTTTTAATTTCAACATAGATGACTTGTGATCGTTAAATTAACAATAATAGAAAAAAAGCCCACCACCGTACACGCCCAAACTCAGAACACAAGTAAACCCACATCAATACATCAACCGGAAGGGACAAAATTAATCAAACAAAAAAACATTGACTTTATTTATCTTTTTCCCTATTAAATTGTTTTCTGGGGTGCTTTCTCTTTGCTCTGTCTCTGATAGCTAAGGTGAAGTTGTCCTTGTCCATGAGAGTGTGTTTTGATGAAAGCCAATATTAAACCTGAAAAATGCACCACGAAAATGTCATAATATTAAACCTTGGATCGAGAAGAGGGACAAGTTCGATTGTGTTGGATTGGGTGGACACCAATTTTTGTGGTCATCCACTTTCTCCTACGTACGTGTTCAACTTCATTGCTCTCCACACGTATTTGATAGCAACCCGATCGGCCCCTCCGTTCAAATGATTCTCTTTGCCACCTTTCATGTAGTGATCGTTAACATCCATGATCCATGTCACCAAGCTAATCCATTTTCTCTCATCCTTTATGAGTAACGAGTTAGAGAGTTTCTCACAACTTATAATATTCAATGTGTCACTCTAATTAAGAATATAATTTGTTAATTAAGCATAATTGGTCAAACGATTTTAAACTTGTTGAAGTCTTGAAAAATCTTAAGTTTAAATCTCTTCATCTAGTTATATATTTAACCTAAACAAATATTTTTACAAGCATCAAAGGGTTCTAAATTTTGGCAGATATATAGTCAAATGGAATGAAGGGTCTTCAAATTTTCGAAGGATGAGACAAATTAAATGAGAGAAAATCAAGAACCAATAAAACCATGAAGGGACCATGAAATGGTGGCTCAGAAGCATGGCCACGCAGAGCTTTTGGTGTTTATTCTCTCTACAAGATTTCATGATGGTAGGCCGTTGTGATGGTGGTGGTTGTTTTGGTTTCTAGGAAGTACAAAAACACAGATCCTTAATTTGTAATCTTCATTGCTTACGTTATATTAAGAACCAACTAACTATATATATATATGGGGTTCAAAATCGATGAATCTAATAATGATTAGGTTAAATATCATAAACTAATTAAGCAAGATCACTTGCATGAAAGTTCAAGAGCACCCTAGAAGAATATGATTCGCACACAATCTCATCTCATGATATAATCTTACAAGTCACAATCTTATATGATAGTAATAATTAATTGTGATTGATTCTTTCCACACAATTAAGTATGTAAATTAATATGTATATATTCACTAATTTAATATTTATTGTAAAATTTCATTGTGAGATAAAATACTAGGTAAATCAGTTCCATATAATGCACGAGTGCATTATTTTGTACCGTTCATGAAAAATTAACTAGGGTTATTACGGTGAAGAAGTCAGGTGGCTCATTTTGTAATGTTTGACGAAATGAAGATAAAGGATCCATGAGAGGTATCACATGAGGACCCACTCACGCTATAATCCTAATTCTGGATATGCCATCAATGCTGATATCTGTTGGCATTTGGAATAATATATGAATTTCTTGTCCGTTTTCAACTATTATTATTTGCTCTTTCTTCTTTTTGGGTTCTTCTGAATCATTTCTGCTTGCCATTTTGAAAGGGGCACAGTTTTAGTTAAGTATATTGTTTATGTGGATCGTTTGAACCTTGAATGGCCCACTCATACGCATGTAGGCTGATTATTGGTAACACCAAAGTGTGTAC